CATGTAAATAAACTGTTGAACCTAAAACGAACAGTACATTTTAAATCATTAAAGAAAATAATACAATAATAAACTTATACATAAATTATGTGATTAACGTTATACAATCTTATTTATTGCAATAACTTAAACTGTTATGGCACTTTGAATTGAACAAGAGTCTCTTGCTTTTACAACTGCATTTATTCGTGGAACACTTTTTTTGCAATGACAGCGTGTATAGCCTTGCCCTCCACTTTTCGAATTAGCTGCATCTGCTTCTCTCAGCGATATTTCTTGAGAAGAAATCTCATCTATGGAAAGTGACTTTTCTTTACAAATTACGAACTAATTACGTTATTACGTGATTACGATCTGTTAATGGTGTCTTTTATTCGGATATCGCCGATGCCTTACCGACGACCCCTCTCATCCTCCGCCATTCGACCTGACAAACCGATCCTCATCTCACGGGATCAAAAGAACAAAAACGCCATCCACTGACAAAGTGGTTTCCACTAAACCGTTGCCGGGAAAAGAGGTACGACCTTGTACTACCTCCGGCTACCCGCAAAGGATTTGGCGACAGACTATCGCCTCTCTGTCGACATCGGCTTCTCGGGTGTCATTTCGACCTCCACCAAAACTTATCTGTGTTTGTCGACATACGCCGGCGATTGTTCGAATGTATAATAATTTAACTAAATATTCGGTCTTTCACCGACGTATTTTGTATGTGTCGACATTCACCGGAGAATATCGACATTCACTAATTTCGGTCTTTCACAGTAACATATATATTGCCATATCTAAGCAGCATATACTGATAGCTTGTATTTTACGTAACGTTTCGCTATAAAGCCAAGCAGCTTTCTCATGTGTTAATATAAAATATTTAAATGATAAAGTTTAATTATAAATGCCTTCTTTTAGAGTCTGTACACACTTGGCGTTTTTCAACGCGCGTTTTAAAGAACCAAGAGTTGTATGTAGCCGTACACACTCAAACGCGCGCTTTTGGCCAAGCGCGCGTTAAACGCGCGTTTATAGATTTTTGTTAAAACGCGCGTTTTGCGGGCGTTAGCCGAGCGCTTTGAGATATATGTGCTGCCATGTTACCGTACATGCGATCGCGCGTTTTCCCGGCGTTTTACGGGCGCTTCTAGATTTACGCCGCCATTTTGCTGTATATTCGATCGCGCGCTTTTGGGTGATATCTACTTTTATAATATGGAGTAAGTCGTCAAATGATTTTATAGACATTTTAAAAGAATTAAAAAACTTGAATTTATTTTGTCTTAGTTTTGGATACAACGTCGCAAACATTTCATGCGTCAGTCTATCTCGTAATATTGGGTGCACCCAAAATTCTCTTTGCCTCTGCCGTCGTCTTTTATAGCGACGATAGAGGAGCCACACACAAGCAAGCACTTCCACATCCATTTCCAAACCGAGCCAGTGCGCACGTTCCGCTAAACGCTTGTTTAAAAACGCCTAGTGTGTACACAGCCTTAAACTCCTTCTTTCCCTGGTAAATAGTATAAGCGTTCATTCTTATTTTACTTTTTTAAGACCAGATTACAGTAAAAAGAAATTTTGGGATCAAATACCACAGATGCAGGATATTTTAAATACACTAAATACTTTTTCTTAAATATTTTGTGCTGTAAAATACGGTATTTAGCAGTCCAAATGCAACCAAATTTGGCATAGCGACATTTCAGGGCATGCGAAAGACATTTCTATAAAAATTAATACCAAAACTCACCACTTATGGCCTTTTGGACTTGCAAGCGACAAACATTTGTATTGCATAAGACTTCATGCTGTACAGAGATGTTAATGATGCGGGAAATAGGTCTACTGCTCAATGGTATATTCATGTAAAATCTGAAAGCGATGAACAGTGTATTCAACATTTGACCATAGTGATCCTCTGTAGTGCTTCTCAAATGCAGCGTGATACTATAATGGTTGCCAAATTTGCAACTTGTCCTCGATAAACCATATTTATTTGAGAACATTCTCACGAATTATAGCATATGTATCGCTATTGTTGGAACCCATTGTTTACTTAAACTTCATTGACCAATGAGAATACGGTATTCTGCCTCACACATATTAGAGAGGTTGAGGCGCACGTTTTAAACGTGTAAACGTGTACGTGTGACGTTCGGCGCCGCTTTCCCGTAAGCCTAAAAGTTTGACGATGGTGTTTGGAATGTCGAGCATAATTCCACCGACTATCCAAACACCAATGTCAAACTTTTAGGCTTACGGGAAAGCGGCGCCGAACGTCACACGTACACGTTTACACGTTTAAAACGTGCGCCTCAACCTCTCTATTGACAACTTACTTTCAACCCCTTCTTGAAAATAGAAACCGAATGTGGAAGGTCGTAGGAAGTCGCTCGAATTATTTATTTTCACATTTGTCTACTAATTTAATTGTGTAGTTTTATTCTGCCGATGTTCTATTTTAATTGCCTTCTATTTAGTATATGCCTTATATAAAAGTATATGCCTTACAGTATACTTTTATTATATTTTTACGGGGTTTCCAAAAACACAAATAAACACAAACCACAATATAAATAGTCGAAAACATTCTATTTAGTGGTTGTCTTTTAAATCTTTTAAAAAGTATTAGCGACATTGCGGCCGAAGTTTTCATCTGTAAAACGTGAACGTCAAACGTCGAGCGCCACTATTATATTATTCTTCATACAAGATAGTGGCGCTCGACGTTTGACGTTCACGTTTTACAGATGAAAACTTCGGCCGCAACCTCTCTATTTTTTAAATTAATATAAATAAANGGCGCCGAACGTCACACGTACACGTTTACACGTTTAAAACGTGCGCCTCAACCTCTCTATTGACAACTTACTTTCAACCCCTTCTTGAAAATAGAAACCGAATGTGGAAGGTCGTAGGAAGTCGCTCGAATTATTTATTTTCACATTTGTCTACTAATTTAATTGTGTAGTTTTATTCTGCCGATGTTCTATTTTAATTGCCTTCTATTTAGTATATGCCTTATATAAAAGTATATGCCTTACAGTATACTTTTATTATATTTTTACGGGGTTTCCAAAAACACAAATAAACACAAACCACAATATAAATAGTCGAAAACATTCTATTTAGTGGTTGTCTTTTAAATCTTTTAAAAAGTATTAGCGACATTGCGGCCGAAGTTTTCATCTGTAAAACGTGAACGTCAAACGTCGAGCGCCACTATTATATTATTCTTCATACAAGATAGTGGCGCTCGACGTTTGACGTTCACGTTTTACAGATGAAAACTTCGGCCGCAACCTCTCTATTTTTTAAATTAATATAAATAAATAATTATATTCGTATATATCAAAATTATTATATAATGTATGTATGTAGGTATTCCGTAAGATTATTAGAGTCGAAGGTATTTATTAATGTGCGTTTATAAGTTTAAAAATGAGCAGAATTTAATTTATTCTGCAGATTTTCTCGTTTAATACTTTGAAAGAAAGAAAAAAAACAATTGTTTTGTAGTATTTTTTTATCAGCAGATGGCGCATCGATAGCAAAAGAAGAAGCAAACGATTTTAAATGTTAATACTGCTATCATTACCAATAAAAAATGCGTGTTTTTATAATAAAGAGATTCTTTTTTTCTTTCTTTAAAGCGTTTTAATCGAAATGCACGAAAAACATTTCAAATAAGAAACTTTGCGGTAAACAAGTTTTAAGACGGATTGTTGGTTGACAAAAGAAGAAGAAGAAAGAAGCGTAGTCTTATTGACACATAATCCATTCTCGAACTTGTTTCGTGCCCGATTGTTGATGGAAGCATCCCCAAGGTGAAGCCGAGCAGCCAATGAGAGACGCCACCTGGGTCACCCTTTAGGGAGGGAAACAGTCAGGGTCAAAACTCCACCCGTCGCCATGTTGGGAGGCCGTGGCGATTATCTGAAATTTTTACCGTTCGATTGATAATCTCATTTTAATACTCGATGTTCGAAGTACGCGTTAAGAGAATCTATCAATTCGCAGCCCCATTCAATGGGCTGTGATGGGAACTCGAATCGACGGCATCAATTTTTTCGTTGTCGTCTTTTTCCGTTTGACGTTCTCTTTATCGACAGGTAAGTTGATAAACAAGTCTGATTTATCCGCAGATAACGAAATTAAATGTAGTCGATCCGTGCTTTGTTACTAATGTTATGTTTATTCAACGATTACGCTCGTGCAATCTATTATTACATTATGCAAATATTTGAAATCTTTCAATTTCCAATTGTTTTTATTCTACACGTGCGTTAAGATAATGAGAAACTCCAATGGACAAGACTTTTATAAATGTCTTAAATAAATACCATATATTTTTAATAACTTAATTATTCCGTTCTCTTATTCCTAATACACTAATTTCGGGTAAAACATCTGCGATTATAATACCGAATAATTTATTTAAAGTAAATGCATTAATAAAATTAAAGTTAATTTTATATGTATATTTATATTAATAAAATATTTTAATGAAATAAAATGAGATTTAACCATTAGAAATTGATTAATTCGTATTACACGTGCGTGTAATTTTGAAATTTACATTTAAAAAGTTATAGTGTTATGTTAACACATTGTTATTATTTATTTACTTGTGTTGTCATTTTATCCAATTAAATTTGTTCAATCAAACTGTATTGGTTATATATATATGACAGATTAGAAAAATCTTTAAAAATATATTTAATGTTTCTTTTTGTTTTTTTTTTTAATTTTACTCTGCAAATATGTAAATAAAGTAGATTATGTTGTATAAATAACAAATAAAATAACATGTTTTGTCTTACTGTTGATGAATATTATTTTTACATCTGTTTGTAATGTCAGTTTCAAACTTCTATTACTTAATATGCTTAATAGCAATATTATATTTAATTTATCTTCGAGAGCAAAAAATATAATTTTCTTATTTGACAAATATTTATTAGTTTTTAAAAATCAAGATTTATTGTTCTCCTATTAAATTTAATATTAGTCTTTTAATATTGTTTATTGTTTGATTAAATTAATTAAAAATTAATAATTTTTTGTAATTTTATGTCATCTAATTAATTTACTAAAGTAAATAAATTAACTTATATTACTTATTTATATTTTAATTATGATTATTGATCTGAATTTCATTTGCTGTTTGATATGTAACTATTGATGGATTAATAGGTGCATGAGTCATAGGCATTCATGTTTTCATATTTTTAATTTGGGAAAAAGATTATTAAGTTTTTTCAAATTTATTCAATTTTTTTTTTTAAATAAAAAATAAAATTGACAGTTACCTCATAGAAATTAATTGTGTTTTAGTATTAAATATTTTATTTTTTGTGATCAAATAATTCTAATAAAAAAATTTTAAGAATTTGCATTTAAGGCTGCTACACAAGCTCAACTAAATAAATTTTTAATATTTGGCAGTTTTTATGTTGCCTATTTGAATGTAATGAGTGAAAATCTGTTTTTCATTCTGACTTTATCCTGCGACCGAAGCAGTCAGAAAATATTTACAGTATTTTTGAAGTTTGACTCAAAATAAATAATCTATTCCATATTGAAAGAAATAGAAAGTGTCAATATAGAATTTCTTTTCTTTCAATATGGAATAGTTTTTTTGTATCCCACTTGGTGTTAAAAGTTAGAAAAATTTTGTTGTTTAGTTGAAAAAGACAAATAAAAAATAAAATTTGTGCAAATTAATATAAATTTTTTAAATTTTGCTGATAAGTAAGTTAAAAATTTAAACATAGCCTATTATATTAATTCATTTATATTATTATTATTGTTGGTTTTTAAGATATGGAACCAAGCTTCCATCAAATGGACAGTATCTTTTTATACATGAATTTTTTGTGAATTTATCTACCATATAAAAACAAATTGGATGTATTTTAGCATAATGCTCCATTAAAACAGGATCTCACTAATTATTTATCATTTCATTATTTCAAAGTTTTGCAGAAAAACTTCCAATTCAGAACTATTTTAAATTTTTATAAGAAATTAATTTAAATAATAAGTTATGAAAAAACTTGTAAAATATTATATACTATAGTAATGTTTGTTTGTGCTTTTCCAAATTTCTTATGATCATATTCTTTACTCTTAAATCTTGATTATATCTAAATTAGTATTTCTCAAATAAGGCATAAAATTAATATTTAGCATACTATTACAAAACTGTATACACTGTTTTTATTAATATCTCTACACTTATCTACTTAATAATAATAATATTATTAAGTAGATATGTTTATTAATTTATAAGTAATAATATCTTCCAAATTATAAACAAAGTACAAATGTTTTGTTGCTGGTATATTAGGTTATTGCAGTGTTTTATTAATTTATATTGTTAACCAGTTTTGTAAAGTAGCAGATGTTAAATTACTGATATTTTAAATATTCTTTGTAGTTAATGAATTGTTTTCAATTTTTATGCTATAAAATAAAAGAATTTAATAAAAATCACTATTAATTACATAAATGTTGATATAAATAAAAAAATAGTATAATTCTTGTATATTACATAATGCAATTACTTAAAACAGGAAATTGTAATATTACACTTCCGTTTAATAAAAATTTTTATAGCATTAACACATGGAAAAAGTTTCAATGCTGTAAAAAATTAAAGCACTGTATATAGTTAATGAGAAGATATTTCTATCTGTAGAAGTTTAAGATACTTTTTAACATTTTCATAAAAATTTTGAAAACATTATCACTTACACCAATGATGAGCAATCTTTCTATATGTGGGCCTCAAGGGAACTTTGTAGGCTTTTGGCAGGCCACATGCATTCTTTCTGAGTTGCAGGATTTAAACCTGTTAAGTACTAATATACTCTATAACCACAAGTATACTAGGTACTAAATTAAATACAGTATATGCTAATGATATGCAAACTAGTAGTAATAGTTTAATCTAATCTTTTTACTGGTCAAGTATAGTTTAATGTTTTTCATGATTGATAAATATTAGCTTAATACAGTACAGTCGACTCCCCCCTATAACACGGTAGATACGTTCCTATTTTTATGAATCCAGCTTCTAGGAGTCTAGCCAATCACAGCCAGGCACATATGCAGTTTACGGACTATGGCTGTTTGAAAGGTTTCTTTCGTAAAATTAATCGATTCTAGACTAATTCGACTCAATATTTCCAAAATACGTATAATTTTTTGGGAATAATCCATATAAATTATGCTATAAACAAAATATTGTAGGATTACTTACCGAGTGCGCACCGTTCGACTACGCCGTTGCTTAAGCTTGCTTTCATCGTGGAGATTGTTATCGAATGGCACTCACGTGCTTCCTGATAAATTATTTTTTGCGAAAAATTTGCTGAATTTTAGAGACATCATTAANCAGGTATTAAAATTTTGTGATTATTTATCAAAACTTTAATCATCAATCATCACTTTTAAGTTAAAAACTTATGAAAGACATTTAATTATTAAACAGATGTTGTAAATTATGTTTAAATATTTAAACTTTTTTATATAGAAAATTGCTCTTTTTACTTTATTATTATTCTAATAAAAAAATTTTAAGAATTTGCATTTAAGGCTGCTACACAAGCTCAACTAAATAAATTTTTAATATTTGGCAGTTTTTATGTTGCCTATTTGAATGTAATGAGTGAAAATCTGTTTTTCATTCTGACTTTATCCTGCGACCGAAGCAGTCAGAAAATATTTACAGTATTTTTGAAGTTTGACTCAAAATAAATAATCTATTCCATATTGAAAGAAATAGAAAGTGTCAATATAGAATTTCTTTTCTTTCAATATGGAATAGTTTTTTTGTATCCCACTTGGTGTTAAAAGTTAGAAAAATTTTGTTGTTTAGTTGAAAAAGACAAATAAAAAATAAAATTTGTGCAAATTAATATAAATTTTTTAAATTTTGCTGATAAGTAAGTTAAAAATTTAAACATAGCCTATTATATTAATTCATTTATATTATTATTATTGTTGGTTTTTAAGATATGGAACCAAGCTTCCATCAAATGGACAGTATCTTTTTATACATGAATTTTTTGTGAATTTATCTACCATATAAAAACAAATTGGATGTATTTTAGCATAATGCTCCATTAAAACAGGATCTCACTAATTATTTATCATTTCATTATTTCAAAGTTTTGCAGAAAAACTTCCAATTCAGAACTATTTTAAATTTTTATAAGAAATTAATTTAAATAATAAGTTATGAAAAAACTTGTAAAATATTATATACTATAGTAATGTTTGTTTGTGCTTTTCCAAATTTCTTATGATCATATTCTTTACTCTTAAATCTTGATTATATCTAAATTAGTATTTCTCAAATAAGGCATAAAATTAATATTTAGCATACTATTACAAAACTGTATACACTGTTTTTATTAATATCTCTACACTTATCTACTTAATAATAATAATATTATTAAGTAGATATGTTTATTAATTTATAAGTAATAATATCTTCCAAATTATAAACAAAGTACAAATGTTTTGTTGCTGGTATATTAGGTTATTGCAGTGTTTTATTAATTTATATTGTTAACCAGTTTTGTAAAGTAGCAGATGTTAAATTACTGATATTTTAAATATTCTTTGTAGTTAATGAATTGTTTTCAATTTTTATGCTATAAAATAAAAGAATTTAATAAAAATCACTATTAATTACATAAATGTTGATATAAATAAAAAAATAGTATAATTCTTGTATATTACATAATGCAATTACTTAAAACAGGAAATTGTAATATTACACTTCCGTTTAATAAAAATTTTTATAGCATTAACACATGGAAAAAGTTTCAATGCTGTAAAAAATTAAAGCACTGTATATAGTTAATGAGAAGATATTTCTATCTGTAGAAGTTTAAGATACTTTTTAACATTTTCATAAAAATTTTGAAAACATTATCACTTACACCAATGATGAGCAATCTTTCTATATGTGGGCCTCAAGGGAACTTTGTAGGCTTTTGGCAGGCCACATGCATTCTTTCTGAGTTGCAGGATTTAAACCTGTTAAGTACTAATATACTCTATAACCACAAGTATACTAGGTACTAAATTAAATACA